AGCGTTACAGTAAACACTCGCTGTAAGTTGACTTTTAACCGGTTACTAACTGACATTTTCACCTTGTTAATTATGCGCACGGTCATGCAAAATCGCGCACGATTTCGAGTGGCCAAATAAGTGTCGACTCAAAGTTGCATTGTCAGCGATGTCGAGCGATGGACGGGCACGATGATCTCTTAATTACATGGCTCCAATGGAAAACTGGCAACTGGAGCTGCTCCAGGCACAACGGAAGCAGAGGCAGTGACTTCATAGACAACACCTGAATCTAGCCGGGAACTAAGGCAAAAAACAGAGAGAGAACATTCAAATAGGGAATGTGGAAGATCTAATACCCTTTCAGAAGCAATGGCTGTGACTTCATAGACAACAGCTGAATCTGGTCAAAAATGTAGGCAAAAACAAGAGGAAACAAAATGTATTTACTCTGTGCCGAAAATCCAATACCCTTTCAGATATATAGAAAATAATGCTTTGTATATCTTAACCTCTCAAATATTGTTGCTAGTTCCTATGGCAGCTATACTCCAACAAAGTCTCATCAACTCAGAGACACTCAGCTGAACACAGCTCGTTGATCTAATCAAGTGGCATACATTCCTAATGGGATCAAAGATACCTACATTACAAAATTAAAATACCCTCGGCGAGGGTATAATGATGGACAGCTGAATATGGTCAGGCGTTGCCAATAGCTAAACCACTTGACCAAATATTGCTGACCTGAGCCGAAGTGACAGGTGTAGCCATGTGCTGTGTGTGGATTCAGGTGTCGTAGGTGAATTGTAGGCGTTGACCTAGCACAGCACAAGGTACGAAAAATTCAAAATGGCCGGTTTTTGCGCGCCTTGAGCTGGCCGCTGGCGCCATCTGTTGTGCAGCCCGCCAAGCTAAAAGTTTATTGATTTTGCCGCTAGAGCAAAAACTGAGAGTGAAAATGCCGCTTACTTTTTTAAGTTTAAAAAGGCAATAAATAGACTTAATCTCTATAATCTATAGGAAATTTCGCCTGCGACAGTGGTAAATTGGCCGGAATATACCCTCGAATATCCTATATAAACATAGGTCAAAACTTCCCACCCCCATAACTCGGTCAAATCTCATCCGATTTTCATAAACTGTGGCTCATTGTTCATGGTTTGGCCTCTAGATCAATTGTGCATCTCAATCTGGAAACATATTTCTGGGTCAAAATTCATGTTGAAATGGTACCCTCAAATATCCTATATAGACATGGGTCAAAACTTCCCACCCCCATAACTCGGACAAATCTCATCCGATTTTTACAAACTGTGGCTCTTTTTTCATGGTTTGGCCTCTAGATCAATTGTGCATCTCAATCTGGAAACATATTTCTGGGTCAAAATTCATGTTAAAATAGTACCCTCAAATATCCTATATAGACATGGGTCAAAACCTCCCACCCCCATAGCTCGGTCAAATCTCATCCGATTTTCAAAAGGTTTGCTTCATTGTTCATGGTTTGGCCTCTAGATCAATTGTGCATTTCAATCTGGAAACATATTTCTGGGTCAAAATTCATGTAAAAAAGGTACCCTCAAATAACCTATATAGACATAGGTATAATTTCCCACCCCCATAACTCGGTCAAATCTCATCCGATTTTCATAAACTGTGGCTCATTGTTCATGGTTTGGCCTCTAGATCAATTGTGCATCTCAATCTGGAAACATATTTCTGGGTCAAAATTCATGTTGAAATGGTACCCTCAAATATCCTATATAGACATGGGTCAAAACTTCCCACCCCCATAACTCGGACAAATCTCATCCGATTTTTACAAACTGTGGCTCTTTTTTCATGGTTTGGCCTCTAGATCAATTGTGCATTTCAATCTGGAAACATATTTCTGAGTCAAAATTCTTGTTGAAATGGTACCCTCAAATATCCTATATAGACATGGGTCAAAACTTCCCACCCCCATAACTCGGACAAATCTCATCCGATTTTTACAAACTGTGGCTCTTTTTTCATGGTTTGGCCTCTAGATCAATTGTGCATCTCAATCTGGAAACATATTTCTGGGTCAAAATTCATGTTAAAATAGTACCCTCAAATATCCTATATAGACATGGGTCAAAACCTCCCACCCCCATAGCTCGGTCAAATCTCATCCGATTTTCAAAAGGTTTGCTTCATTGTTCATGGTTTGGCCTCTAGATCAATTGTGCATTTCAATCTGGAAACATATTTCTGGGTCAAAATTCATGTAAAAAAGGTACCCTCAAATAACCTATATAGACATAGGTATAATTTCCCACCCCCATAACTCGGTCAAATCTCATCCGATTTTCATAAACTGTGGCTCATTGTTCATGGTTTGGCCTCTAGATCAATGGTGCATTTCAATCTGGAAACATATTTCTGGGTCAAAATTCATGTTGAAATGGTACCCTCAAATATCCTATATAGACATGGGTCAAAACTTCCCACCCCCACAACTCGGTCAAATCTCATCCGATTTTCAAAAGGTTTGCTTCTTTGTTCATGGTTTGGCCTCTAGATCAATTGTGCATTTCAATCTGGAAACATATTTCTGGGTCAAAATTCATGTTGAAATGGTACCCTCAAATATCCTATATAGACATGGGTCAAAACTTCCCACCCCCATAACTCGGCCAAATCTCATCCGATTTTCATAAACTGTGGCTCTTTTTTCATGGTTTGGCCTCTAGATCAATTGTGCATTTCAATCTGGAAACATATTTCTGGGTCAAAATTCATGTTGAAATGGTACCCTCAAATGTCCTATATAGACATCGGTCGAAACTTCCCACCCCCGTAACTCGGCCAAATCTCATCAGATTTGCATAAGGTTTGGACTTTTCTGCATGGTTTGGCCTCTAGATCAATTGTGCATCTCAATCTGGAAACATATTTCTGGGTCAAAATTCATGTTGAAATGGTACCCTCAAATATCCCATATAGACATAGGTATAATTTCCCACCCCCATAACTTGGTCAAATCTCATCCGATTTTCATAAACTGTGGCTCTTTTTTCATGGTTTGGCCTCTAGATCAATTGTGCATCTCAATCTGGAAACACATTTCTGGGTCAAAATTCAAGTTAAAATAGTACCCTCAAATATCCTATATAGACATAGGTATAAATTCCCATCCCCATAACCCGGTCAAATCTCATCCGATTTTCGGTTTGGCTCTTTGTTCATAGCTTGACCTCAAGATGAGTTTGTCAGGAAGTGCGTTTTATTGAATTAAAAGTGTAATACATATTCCAATTCGTGTTCAGCAAAAGTGCATACGTGTGGGCCTAAAACGTCCATATTCCGCGTTCGTAGTGGGCGGCACCTTGGCCTCGCTGTTAACATCGTGACTTTGCACGTCTTGCTTTTCCAGAACCTTCACCGCATCGGCATGGGAGTAGCAATGCTTCTTGTTCAATCGCTGGCGCTGGGCATACTTCTGGAATGCCTCGTCCCCATAGATGTGATGGCTCTCGCAGTAGATCTGACCGACGCGATTGAACTCGATGTTCTGCCGGCCCGGATACCAGCTGAAACATTTCTGCCAGCGATCTCTCGACTGGCTATCCTTGTTGGCCACCAGACGATGGTATTTCAATTGATCTGTGGTAATCACTTCGAGCGGCATTGTGGAATATGTTTATTTATTTTTATTTTTAATATTTTCTTATACTGTTACTTTCTGATTTAAGTGTTTTATTGTCAGCGTAACATACAAAATTTTTTAAACCGACAATTTCGAGAGGCATTTACGACATTTACAAACGGGCTGAGATATTGACAATTCAACATTTAGGAATTTTATTTGACACAAAACACAATTTTACGATTTTGTAACGTACAATAACACATCAGCGCGAGGAATATGGGATATATAATAGGTTTGATTCAATATATAACGGCCTTCGGGAAATATATGCCCTACCATATTGTTCACATGCTGAACTGGCAGTTTTTCCAATATAATGTCGTGCTGGAAACGAAAAAGGCTTTAAGTTTAATTAAAAAAAAAACAAGAAACATGCGCACATTTATGGGACAGGTGTGATTAACGTTTGTATAGTCTGCAAATGAGTTAAATAAAATATTGGCAAGTGGATTGCTGCGATCTTTCATAAATTTGCAGACGTCTATCGTGGCATTAAATCGTTCAAAGATGTGCCTACTGTCACGCTTAATTATCTTGAATGTCATCTATTAACAGAACATAGTTTTAAGTAATTAAATCGTTTAAAATGGGTTTTGAGCTTAATTACCCAAGCATTCGTAATGGGCAGCTGCGAGAGATGACATTTGATCGACAAATATTTGTAGGTTCGATTCATAGATTTGAGAAAGCAATATTCGTAATTAAGAAAATCTGGGTTTCTAGTCGAGCACTTAACATTGTTGAACTCAATATGGCCAGTTATCTGGAAAATAAAGCTTAAATTTAAGAAAATATAATAACTATATATCGACTTACGCCAATTATGAATATTGTTGTCAATATTAAACTCAAACGCATTAAACTCATTACGGGGCCGTTAAATAAACGTCTGTTTGGCTTAAACGATCGATCTGTACTGGATTCGTATGAAAATGACTTTATATGCTCCATTACAGTTGTTAATTATATATGGAATTAATAGAGATATCTATCTGAGCAATTCGACAAAAATTCAAATATGATGAAATTTCGTTAAGTACGTTACAATTATTTATACCGAATACACAAGCTTGTTTCGTTGAGTTTGCTTAAGTAAAATGATCTTATAATAGTGACAAGGCTGTTCGTTAAGTGTGGCGCTGTTTCGTTAAGCTTTCAATTATTTTAGCAACACAGTTGCGCAACGGTTCTGCTACCAGAACGCTCAGCACTGACAATCGTTGTAGAAAACTATCGGTCATATTCCACCACTAGCACAGCTGATATTTTGGCGGCAATTTCTATTCAAAACAAGCTACATACACAATCCAAGCCCAGTGATTAAACTAATTTTAATTGAATAATGCATGATTCGGTGCAGGAGGTAATTAAAACGCGTCGTTTTCTGAAGGAGCGACTGCAGCGCGACTACAGCACACTCCGTGGCTACGAGGCGGAGCGTTCCAATGTGCGGCAGCTGCTGCAACGCACAGCCGAAATGGGCGAATCAAATTCTTTGCTTTTGATAGGGCCGCGCGGCGCTGGCAAGACCACAGTAAGTACTCGCTATAACGCTCGCCCAATATGCTGTTTAACACCTTTGCTTATGCCGTAGCTAATAAATGCCGTGCTCACGGATTTGATGGAGAACAAATCGTTTGTGGACAACACGCTCATTGTGCACCTGGATGGAAATCTGCACACAGACGATCGCATTGCTCTTAAATCAATTACTGTGCAAATGCGCCTAGAGAATGCGGCCGACGGCAAGGTGTTTGGCTCTTTTGCTGAGAATCTGGCCTTTCTGCTGCAGTGCCTCAAGGCGGGCGACAAGAAGTCCAAAAGCGTTGTTTTCGTGCTGGAGGAATTCGATCTCTTTTGCACACATCACAATCAAACCCTGCTGTACAATTTGTTCGATGTATCGCAGTCAGCGCAGGCGCCAATTTGTGTGCTGGGCGTGACCTGCCGCCTAGATGTCATTGAGCTGCTCGAGAAGCGCGTCAAATCTCGATTCTCGCACAGGTCAGTTTGTCCTTTAAATGTTTGCACTCCCCACTTACACTTATTTTCTCTTTTCCTAGACAAGTGTTCCTCTTTCCCAGTGCCCACAAATTCGAAGAGTATGTGGCGCTCTTCCAGCAGCTAATGAGCATACCCAGCAGCAAGGAGCTGCAAACAGCGGCTGATCGCGTTGACAGCCTGGAGCTGCTCAAATCGGAAGCGTTTACCTTTCAACGTAATCATTTCGATGGAGTTGAATACAATTTTGATAAGAAGCATATGGAGAACTGGAACAAACAAATTGCGAAACTTAGCAAGTCAGCAGCTGCACAGAAAACCCTGCAAATGCTGTACGATTTTGATATAAGCGAAGCATTCCTCAAGACCTTTATATTCCGTCTGGTGGCACAGCTAAGACCGGAGGCTCCACATATTACGGGCGAGCAGCTCACAGCGCTGGCCGCTCAATACGAATGCGACGATAAAGTGGAACTGCTCTGCGGTCTCTCAGTGCTGGAGCTGTGCCTGATCATTGCCATAAAACATCATTCTAGCATTTACGACAGAGATCCGTTCAATTTTGAAATCATATTTGCGCGCTTCTCCAAGTTCGCCAAGGTGTCCTCGACCATGCAGGGCGTGGAGCGCGCCGTAGTATTAAAAGCCTTCGAGCATTTGCGCATTGTCGAGCTGATTATGCCCCTATCCAGCAGCGGCATGGGCAAGCTGCAAAAGGAGTTTGAAATGCACAAAATGGCTCTAACATATGGACAGATCCAGCAGGCAGTGCAGCGCTATCAGGCACTGCCCACGGAGGTGGCACAATGGGCGCAGAGTTCATTGATCTGATGGCGACAAATGGCCAACAAATATTCCTTAATTTTACAATTTATTTATTTCTATGTTTAAATACACACTTGTCTACACACACGCATCTTAACTTGTAAATTGTTATTGTTCATTATGTAATTAGGTCAATTGTGCTCTTGATCGATAATGCAAATTCTTTAAGCAGCTGCTGCCCGCATCTGCCCTAGCAATTGTATGTGGGCAACATTTCTATATAAAAAATGCCTTGGAGCCTTCAACCTGGCACAGTTGATCAGCGGCCAGCAGCATGAGTTCACCCACTATCCTGTTGTACGCTGTGCTACTTCTGGCTGCGCTCTGGGACTCGGCTCAGGCCGATGAGAGTCCTGGCTTCTTTCTGAAGATCACCAAAAACGTGCCACGTCTGGGCAAGCGCAGCGAAGGTTTCCCCATGAAGAACATTAAGACCATACCACGCATTGGACGCAGCGATCCCCAAGTAAGTAAAGTCATATTCTCTGACCAAATCGCAATCTAAGTTCCCTTCGCCTTAGGCCTCTGTCACACCCTTGCTAGCCTGGCTTTGGGATATGGACATGGACATGGTTCAGCCGCAGCTCAGCAAGCGTCGCCTGCCCAGCAATGTCGGCGCTGGCCATGCGGAACGCGAGCTGAACGTTGTGCAGCCGGTTAATTCGAATACGCTGCTTGAGCTACTGGATCGAAATGCTATACCCAGCGAGCATGTCAAGTTCGTGCACTGGAAGGACTTTGATCGTGCCTTGCAGGCCGACACGGAGCTGTACGACAAGGTTATACACCTGGGACGCGATCCGGACCAACGTTTGAAGCAGGATCTCAACTTCAACAGCTATATACCGATCTTTGGCTCTGACGATGGACTTGGCAACAATTTTATGCTGTACAACAGGGACGATAGCGATTTGTATGGCAGCGACAATCGCTACAATCGTAACTTTATGGAGTATAACCGTTTGTAGATGAGCGGCAAGTGTGAATACAGGGTATCTAAAAGTGGTACTTGCTACTTGTGTATACCCTAGGTGTATTCGGCTATTGGCAGTCTTTGTATCTTTGTGTGCGCAATGGTTTAAATAAAACCAGAAATTATACAACAAATTTTGATGAATTGAGCTCCCTAAAAGCTTGCTCTCTTATCATTAAGAAACCGGAAAGAGACAGTCCCCTGACATGTTGCAAGGCATTAACGTTACTTATGTTTAACGGTTTTCGGTGGCTTTCATTTCCATCCCCTTACATTTCTCTCCATTTGTGGTGACTGTACCAAGGCGTCCTCATTTCGTATGTTGAAAAGAACTTTGTTTGACATGTAGAATGTGCAATACAATTAATTTTCATTCATTGGCAGCGCAATGAGCCTGTAAATTTAATTCAATGTGATTTTATAATTAGGAAATGCCATCCTTGAGTAATTAGTTAACATGCGTGTTTACAAATGTTTTCAAACTGGTTTTGTGCAATTGCGACATAAATTCCAAGCCGTTTCAGATTTTTTGCTAATATTATTATTATTTTTGTCATTCTTTGCTTTTCAATCAAACAAAATTGCACGAAAATTAACGCTCAAACAAAAGAGAAGCTCCGCTTGGCGCCGCCGTCATAATACTGCACACACACACATACACATACGTTTACACACATACATATGTTTGTATGGCAGACTATATTTTAATTTGGTTTAATTAGCGTTTGATTGTTAAATATTTGGCATTTTGTGTTAACAACAAACAACCGGAGCTACTGAATTGCAATTCCCACAAATAAATGCATATTAATTAATTACACTTCGAAGCACAACTGCTTTTGTTGAGGCCTGTAAACTTGACTTTGAAAATTTGCAATGTTTTTGTTGCTCTTGTTGTTGTTGTTGTTGTTTTTCACAATTTCTATTTTAGCTGCAAGCGCGTAGAACAAGTTTGCCATGTGTGTGTGTGTGTGTGTCGCTTCAAATGCGAGAGCGCGCGAAAGAGCGAAATCACCTGCTTGCACACTCTTGTAGGCGCTCTCCTAAGCTACGCTCTCAGTTAGAGCTGCGCTCGTGACGATACTTCAGAGCGCAAGCCATCGCTATGGCCTGAGTATTCGTAGGCACAATACTAGTGCGCGCTAGTGAGTACGTGACACGCACACATCACCCACTCAGTGGCGCTCAGAGCATAAATACGTGTGCGCCGGTGCCTGTTGCTTCATTCGAAGACGAGTCGCGGTCGCGTTCACATCTGGCAAGTAATCTGCTTGCGTCTATACATATTTGTGTGTGTGTGTATGTGAGGAATTTCAGCTGTGGGTGTGAAATGTGAAACGAGCTTTTGCGTTATAAGCTGAGACTGAAGAAAACAAACAAATAAAACAAAATTTAGTAAAGCTTGTTGTTCATTTTTTAATTTAATTAAGTGCGAAAACAAAGAGCACAAATTAAAGTTGAGAAAGTTTTTCGACTCTTCGTGTTAAATTTAAATGCGTTTAGTTTTTGGGTTGAGTCAAAATAGAAAGTCTGGCAACGCGGATTACACAAACAACGCGCAGCAACGTTAACGGTGTGCAATTGACACAGGTGACCGGTTGGATCAAAGGCAATCAGGCAACCCTTGCCACAGCAAGCAACAACAACAACAACAACAACATGATGAACACCGCGAGACTAATCTTGGCCAGCTGCCTGCTCAGCGCTGTGGCCATCCAAATGAGCTCAGCCTCGGCTATACCCATTTGGGAGTTTTTGTCGCGTAACGAAAAGGTAAATTATATAAATTTATATTTGTTTATATGTACATACAGGTCATAAATCGAACATAGAGTAGCGCTCATTTGCATGCATATTCATAATAATAAACGCACATTACGCATACGCCACGTTCGCTCCAGTTACAATGACAATGGGAACTGTGTGCACTCGTCCTTGGCATTGGATATTTGCCAAAAATATAAAAATCTAGCACAACTTTTCGCACATTTATGCATTAAATTATCCATATTTTGTATGAGATCTCAATTTCGTTTATTTTGGTTAAATTGTCAATGAGCATCATAAATACTATAATGCATATTTCTGCACATAATTAGCTGTAGTGTGTGTGTAAGTTTTAACGGCTCTTTTTGTTAACTCTTGCGTTTCAACATTTTTGAATACCGCATTCAAATATTCGAATGCTGAATATGCATGGAGAGCAGACATTAAGGCTGCCAAATTCGATATTCGGAGACTCATTTGCATAACTGTACCGCAGTTGGCTGAATCACAATTTTAACAATAAATACTCGGGCAAAAGATAAAATAAATAAATAAAACAACAGAAGCTGATGCCACTTTACGACAGCAAAGTCAAAGTGTATTCAATATGCAGTTGAAGAATTTCGGCGTTAGCCATCCTTGACATAAATATGAAAGTCAGATGCCTGAACTTGACATTGTCAGCCTTATCATGATATCTATATACAATATACTTTAGCCGGAATATATACATAATGACTGTGTACATTATGGTTATAACAAATACCGGCCCAGCCGGTCTACATAGTTAGTATGTGTTCGTTTCAATGTTTGCATTTTGCAAATATCTATATATATTGCCGGTTTCATCAGAAAAGCTCTAGACTTGTATGGAAATTTAGAAAGGCAGCGTGTGCTTTTGTTTTGTGCTGGCTTTCAACATAAGGCGAGTTAGTGGGAATCACTTAACGAACGCATAAACATGTTTACACACACAAATATTTGCCTGAGTTGCCAGAAATGTGTCTGGCTTGGAAGAGCTCGAAGACAACATGAGGCTGTCCAGCGACATAAATGGATCAATACGTAAGATAGTGGACAGCAAAGGTGTGAAGTAGAATGTTAGAGCTCTGACTAAGACCTGGTTGAAAGGGTAACAAAACACTTTCCAAATAATATGGCCAAGATGTGAAACGCTTTAAGCCAAATGGGCACAACGCCTGCTAAATGCTTTCCATCTATACAATTTAAGCTTTAATTCAACAATAAAACCCAACATTTGGCATAAATGACAGCAAACATTTGTGTACATAATGAAAAGCAATTACCCCGAAATGAACAATAAAACCAAATGAGCTGCATTGCAGCCAGCGGAGCGCAACGACGACAACGAGACAAGCATTAAATTTCGTTTATGATAAAAAACAAAATAAAACACAAACTATTTTTCATTTACATGTACAATTGCCTTGGAGAGGTGGGGTTTATACAGAAAGCAAATATCAAAGCTTTTCACTTTTTTGCGCAACAAACCGTGACAAAGTCGGCGCCTGCTCCAAGACCTGGACTGGGATTGGGGCTCGGACATCCGTTGGGAGAGAGTGGAGGGGGGGGGGGCGGGGGGGGGGGGGGGGGGGCATCTAATGGAAGTGTTGGCAGTTCGGTGTTCGTTACACGCTCGTAAACAGTTAATGAACTCTGCGGCTAGTCAGAAATGTTGTAAAAAGCAACAAAAACAACACAAAAATCGTATTATTAATAGACAGCTTTATCAAAAGCCCGGCCAGGCCAGGCGAGCCTCTCATTTCGCCTAGTCATGTGGATTGTTAGCTCCAAGCCATAGCAGCGCATCGCACGCGAACTGCGCCTTAAAAATCGCCTTTGCTTGATTGTTGTTGTTGTTTTTTTTTTTTCTATTCTAAGCCAACTTATATAATGGCCAGAATAAAACAATGGAAAGCAAAGTTGCTTTTGTAATGCGATACGATACGCTATGTGTGTAGAGACAGGCGCACATCCGGCACCCGCATCACACATAGACAAATGAGAAAATAATTTCCAAAAGCTAATTAATTGCAGAAATTCGAATTCTAAAACGCAATTTGCGCAACTGACATCAACAAAAGAGGACGGGCGGGCATACAAAGTATTTACTAGAATTTGCTAATTAGAATTTCGACATATCCAAAATAATCTATATACTTTATAGAAAATGTAATATCCATCAAATTTTAACACAAAGGGTTTGCTGAAGTTTCGATGGCGTGTGTTACAGATAACAGAAACTAAGCTCACACGCTTTACTTCTACAAATGCGGCAAGCCCTTCTATGCGATTCTCATGATTGCAAGTAAGACTTTGACAGTAAAGTTAACAACTGTTTGGTGAAGCATCTTATATGTTATATATATCGGACTTTGGAGTTACGCACGACTGCTGTTGGCTAATTATAGGGTATTCTCCAGTTAAACTCTTTTATTTAGCACGTTTTTGCTTTTAATTAAATGTTGTTTACCGTTGCCCGCATGCTTCATCGCATCTCTAGCGCTTTCGATTTTTGATTGCAAAAACCCATCGGGCCAATCGTTAAACAATGTTTCTGTTGTTGTTGTTGTTTTGCCCTTAATGTTGAGGTGCAAACGCGTTTAGCCGGTTTGGCCCGAACTTCAATAAATAAATTATGTTCGCATTACACTTTTTATGTAAAGATATATATATACAGCTACATATGGCATATACATAAGCAAAAATGCAGCATCGTCATCATTATATATTATAACAAACTTATCCAAAGGTAATGCCGATCGTGTTGTCTGGGTCGGTTTTTATTTTCTTACGGGTTTCTCTTTAAGTTTTGTTGAAATTTGTTCCCTTTTTACTTGTTTTGCTATCTTTCGTTCGTTTCATAATATATAAACTGCGCAGATCAGCAGGTTATTGAACCAGACGTAACATAAATGTTAAACAAAAAATAAAGAAAACAAATATTTAGCTATTTTTTGGAATTGAGTTCCGGTCATGCTCCAAAATGACGTACATTTATGTTGTTATGTGCCAAATATGTTGTTTGTTTCAGCTTTTTTTTTAAGAACACTTTGGAATTTCCTTGTAATTACATTAATTATTAATTTATCTATTTTTAGCATATGTTCGTAAGATTTTAACATATTTATTTAGCGCGGGGTTCACGTTTTAAGGTCAAAACTTGCTCAAGGTATTTTTTTTTTTTCAAATCAGAACTTGATAAAT